GCCAATGTCAATATTCATCCAGGAGTAACTGTGTAATGAGAATAACTGTAACATAGGGGCACCTGGGTGGCTAAGAGGGTTAAGCATCTGCCTTTGGCTCAGGTCATGATCTCAGGGTCCTGGGACTGAGTCCTGCATCAGGCTCCTTGCTCTGTGGGGAGCCTGCTTCTCCCTCAGCCTCTGTCTGCCTCTCTGCCTGCCTGTACTCTCTCTGTCTCTCTGACAAATAAATAAAAAAATAAAAGCTTAAAAAAAAAAAAAAAGAATCTCCAACATAAAATCTCCTCACAAAACAACAGCTTTACTAGTTAATTCTGTAGACATTTAATGCAGAATTCCTATTTTACTAAACAACTATGGAATATGGAAGCAAGAACACAACACTAAACATTTTGATACAAGCATAACCTTGATAACAAAACGCAGTAAGAATATTGCAAGAAAGGAAAAGCAAAGGCCAAATTACAGATGAACACTGTTGTGAAAATCCTAACCGACATGTTACCACACTATGCGGAACAATATATACAGAAGAAAATACATCAAGACTGAGCTGGTATATTCAGAAATTACAGGTTGGTTTAACATTAAAAATAAAAAAATAAAGATATTCACCACACTAACAAATTAAGAAGAGATATGTGATCACCTTGAGAGATGCAGATAAAGCGTATTTACTAATTAAAAGAACATACAAAGAAGCACAACAGAAAAAAATTGAACTAAGTTGTTAAAAAAAGCTTATTAAATTTTCAAAAGGAAGGGGCGCCTGGGTGGCTCAGTGGGTTAAGCATCTGCCTTCAGCTAAGGTCATGATCTCAGGGTTCTGGGATCGAGCCCCGCATTGGGTTCCCTGCTCAGTGGGGGCCTGCCTCTCCCTCTCCCTCTGCTGCTCCCACTGCTGGTGCTCTCTCCCTCTCTGACAAATAAGTAAATAAAATCTTTTTTTTTTTTAAGATTTTATTTATTTATTTATTTGACAGACAAATCACAAGTAGGCAGAGAGGCAGGCAGAGAGGAGGAAGCAGGCTCCCTGCTGAGCAGAGAGCCCAATGCCGGGCTCGATCCCAGGACTCTGGGATCACGACCTGAGCCGAAGGCAGAGGCTTTAATCCACTGAGCCACCCAGGAGCCCCTAAATAAAATCTTTTAAAAGTAAGTAAATAACTGTATAAACAAAGAAGTGGAAGAAAGGGCGCCTGAGTGGCTCAGTGGGTTAAGCCTCTGCCTTCGGCTCAGGTCATGATCTCAGGGTCCCGGGATCCAACCCCACATCAGGCTTTCTGCTCAGCAGGGAGCCTGCTTCCCGCTCCCCACCACCCGCCCGCCCGCCTCTCTGCCTACTTGTGATCTCTCTCTCGCCGTCAAATAAATAAAATCTTAAAAAAAAAAAAAAAAAAAAAAGAAGTGGAAGAAAAAGAGGAGGTCAATGCAGGGTATCATTTAGTAGCCCCTATGGAAATAATCCATCAAGGCAACAACCACAGACAAGTGCTAGCAGACAGGAGCTGCTTCCTGAAAGTATGTACCAAAACCTCTGAAATACTCTTGCCAAAAAAGTGACACCTGAATGTGATCAAGCCTCCGGATCAGGTCTGTGAAGATGGAGACGCCCTTTACCTGTGCTAATTCATGGCTTCGGAGCACCTGAAATGTGGCTAGTGTGACTTGGGGCTAAATCTAATCATTTTTATTTTATTTTATTCTATTTATTTTATTCATTTTATGTTATTTAAATTCTATTTACTTGTCAGAGAGAGAGAGAAAGTACAGCAGGGGGAGCAGCAGAGGGAGAGGCAGGAACCCTGCCAGGCAAGGAGGCTGATGCGGGGCTCGATCCCAGGACCCTCAGATCATGACCAGAGCTGAAGGCAGACACTTCACCTACCGACCCACCCAGGCGCCCCTAGATTTAATCATTTTAAATTGAATCAGCTGATGTGGCCAGTGGCATCTGTACTGGACAGCAGAGCTCTACAGAACACACCAGCAACACTAACAAAACTCGGACAGTGGGAAATCCACAGAATAGACCACCTGGCCTCTTCCGCCAAAAATGTGGTGAGGAGGGGTGCCTGGGTGTCAGTGAAGCATCTGCCTTCAGCTCAGGGCATGATCCTGGAGTCCTGGGATCGAGTCCCACGTCAGGCTCTTTGCTAAGGGGCGAGTCCGCTTCTCCCTCCCCCTCTCCCTCTGCCCCTCTTCCCAGCTCACGCACTCATGCTCTCTCTCTCTCAAATAAATAACATCTTAAAAAAAAAAATGGAGGGGGCGCCTGGGTGGCTCAGTGGGTTAAAGCCTCTGCCTTCGGCTCAGGTCATGATCCCAGGGTCCTGGGATCGAGCCCCGCATCGGGCTCTCTGCTCAGCAGGGAGCCTGCTTCCTCCTCTCTCTCTCTCTGCCTCCCTCTCTGCCTACTTGTAATATCTGTCTGTCAAATAAATAAATAAAAATCTTAAAAAAAAATGGGGGCACCTGTGTGGCTCAGTGGGTTAAGTCCCTGCCTTCAGCTGGGGTCATGGTCTCAGGGTCCTGGGATCGAGCCCCGCATTAGGCCCTCTGCTAGGCAGGGAGCCTGCTTCCTCCTCTCTCTCTGCCTGCCTCTCTGTCTACTTGTGATCTCTGTCTGTCAAGTAAATTTAAAAAAAAAAAAAAGAAAAGAAAAGAAAAAAACGGGCTAGGAAAAAAGACCCAACAGGTTAAGAGGGTCTTAAGAGAGCAGATCAACCAATTACACTGTATGAACTTTACCCAGATTCTGATCCAAACTTCAAACGATTTGCGGTTTTATAAGACAACTGGAATTTTGAACACTGACTCTGGTGATGTTAGGAAGCTGCTGGACAGCGGGCTGCACTTGCAATTAACCTCCTAAACAAGGTGTTAAGTGAAAGAAACAAAACACAAGTTACTATACACTACAGCAGACGGCCCCAAACTGCAGTGTTAAAGGAACACTAGAAAGAGAAGGACAGAAATGGTTACAACAAAAGTCAGGGTCCCAGTTCTGTGTGAGGAGGAAGAGGCTGTGATTGGCACAGAAAGGGCCTCATCTGGGCTGGGAATGTTCTACTTCTTCTTCCTCTTCTTCTTCTTTTTTTTAAATTTTACTTATTTATTTGTCAGAAGAGAGTTAGAGAGAGCACACACAAGCAGGCAGAGTGGCAGGGAGAGGCAGCGAGAGAAGCCGGCTCCCCACCGAGCAAGGAGCCCGATGCGGAACTCGATCTCAGGACCCTGGGATCATGACCCAAGCCGAAGGCAGCAGCTTAGCCAACTGAGCCACCCAGGCGTCCCGGAATGTTCTACTTCTTGACCTGAATGGTGGCTTCATGCATATGCACTTGGTAATAATTCACTGAACTGTACTTTTACATTTTAGGTACTTTTCCATATATGAATTCTGCTTTACAATTAAAGAGGTACTTAAATACATAATTATGATTACTAAGTGCTTCGGTATTTTCCTCTTGGGTCACATTCTGTGGAAAACTAGGAAAAATGACTGTAATACCCATGGATTTACCACGTTTCTCTGAGGACATTACCCACACTATATCATTTATTCAAAGATTTCATCAAAGCATGACCAAGAAATATTTACTTTCTATGAAGAACTAATTTACTTTTACCCCACAGAAATATTCTTATTTCTTTATTACAACAGCTAAAAATTAGAAAATCAAGTTTGCAGCTCAAATTCATTAATTATGTAGGACACTATGGTTTATAAAAATTCGGGGGGGGGGCACCAGGGTGGCTCAGTGGGTTAAGCCTCTGCCTTCGGCTCAGGTCATGATCCCAGGGTCCTGGGATCGAGCCCCGCATCGGGCTCTCTGCTCAGTGGGGAGCCTGCTTCCCTCCTCTCTCTCTGCCTGCCTCTCTGCCTACTTGTGATCTCTGTCTGTCAAATAAATAAATAAAATCTTAAAAAAAAAAAAAAAATTCAGGGGGTGCCTGGGTGGCTCAGTCTACGAAGCATCTGACCCTTGATTCTGGCTCAGGTCATGATCTCAGGGTTGTGCTATCGAGCCTGTTGGGCTCTGTACTGGGTGCAGAATCTGTTTAAGATTTCCTCCTCTCCTGTGTAAATCTGGCGATTCACAGACCTGTACCCCTGGGGCTAATAATACATTATATGTTAATAAGAAGATAAAAAATTGTTAAAAAAAAAAAAGAGAGAAAGGTTTCCTCTTCTGTCTGTCCTTCCTCCACCTGCTCGTGCGGCCCCCCCACACTCTCTCCCTAACAAAACAAAAAATTCAAATCATAAGACCTTCTCAAGTTCCTATTGTTAGTAAAGTTGCCCCTTGAAAGGGCGTCTGGGTGGCTCAGTCGGATAAGCGTCTCTCTTCCGCTCAGGTAGTGATCCCAGGGTGCTGGGATCAAGCCCCGCACTGGGCTCCCTGCTCAGTGGGAAGCCTGCTTCTCCCTCTGCCTCTGCCACTCCCCCTGCTTGTGTTCTCTCTCAAATAAATAAATAAAATCTAAAAAAAAAAGTTGGCCTTTGAACACCATAGGTGTGCACTGGGCAGGTCCACTCACGTGTGAATTTTTTCAATACAATTATAGTACTATAAATGTATTTTTTTTCCCTTTGATTTTAATAACATTTTCTTTTCTCTAACTTTATCATAAAACACAGTATATAATACACATACAAAACAGGTATTAATCACCCGTTACTAGTAAGGCTTCCGGTCAACAGCAGGCTGTGAGTGAAGGTTGGGGGAGTCAAAAGTTACACATGGCTTTTCCCCGTGCAGGAAGCCTGCGCCCCTGACCCCACCACTGCTCTAGTTCTGCCCCAACCCAGGTCTTCTATGCTGAGGCTCTTTTCCCATGACCTCTCGACTACTTACACTTGTTTCCCTAGAAGACAGAGCCACCCCTTCCAGTCCCTGGAAAACAAAGCAGCAGTCACCTCACCTGTAACATGGTCATTTTCTGTTGCGAGATGAGTAGCTCTGAGCCCTGCTGCACCCTGAGCCTCTTCGGCTTTGGCCCCGAACTCTGCCAGGCCGTGGCTGCGCCTCTCACACCGGGAGCGGGGTCCTGGCTGCGGGAGCTCCTTCCTCACACCGCATGGGCAGGCCTTCCTGTGGGTGACCGGGATCTGCGGACTTAGAAACGACACACTCTGAGGCGTAGACTCAGGCTGCACCTACGATCTCTTCCCCGCTTGCTAGGAACCTGGCGTTCACGATCATCTGCGGTTCTGAGTGATGGACACGGGGCTACCCAGGGTAAGAACAGGATATGGTGCAGAAGAATGGAAAGCTGTGACAGCCAGATCCAGAAATACCAGACGTAAAGAACTTCTGCTAACCACTCACTGCTCACTCCGGACACTGCGGCATCAACTGCTCTCACAGGTGTAAAGAAGTACAACTCTATTTCAGACAGATGGGAATTTGGAGAGCTTAACTGATTTGTATTAAAACAGACTTGAGGGGTGCCTGTGTGGCTCAGTGGGTTGGGCCTCTGCCTTCAGCTCAGGTCATGATCCCGGGGTCCTGGGATCGAGCCCCGCATTGGGCTCTCTGTTCAGCCGGGAGCCTGCTTCCCCCTCCCCCTCTGCCTGCCTCTCTGCCTACTTGTGATCTCTCTCTCCCTGTCAAATAAATAAATAAATAAAATCTTAAAAAAAAAAAAGACTAGAATTTCAACCAACTGTTCCCACCACTGGCTACATGGCTTTGGGCAAAACCAGACAAACTTCTATCTTTACCAGGCAGAGAAAGTCTTCCACAACCCCCTCAATTTACATCAGCCAGTTCTAGCAACTTCTGATGGAAGCATGTTAAATCTCCCAATGAGATTACAGATTGGTAAATTTTACCTTGTAATCATATTAATATTTGCATTCAATGTTTAAAGGCATATTGTTCAACATACAGAGGTTGTGTATTTCTGGAAGATTATGCTTTAATCATGGTGTAATGGCCCTCCTTATGCCAAATGCTCCTTTCTTAGCTTTTAAGCCTCATTTTTTTACTTGTTAAAATTGTGAGGATAAAGTGGACCTTTGGGTCCACTTAACAGTGGGATTCTGAGGGAGAAATGAAATAATAAATGGAAAGTGAGTATTCCTTATAGTAACAAAGGACAACATGTGAATTCTCTCTGAGCACTTTATAATTTGACCCTCACACACAAGCCGAGGAGGCATTTAACAGAACCTCCAGGTTACCGAACGCGAGCGGTCTTCGAAGGGACTCACGGCGGCCAAGCAGCAGGACCGCAGCATCGCATCTCCTCCGTCCTGCGCTTAAGGCGCTCCCTGCTCGAAGGACGGCATGTGCGTGTTTGCACAGACACACGCTGTACATCCTCGAGTTAGTGCTCATCTCCGCGCACACGTCCAGCCACCACGTTTCCACAGGAACACACACGAGCGGCCTGCTGCCCCCAATTCATACTAACAGACACCACCTAAAGGAACAAGCGCTTCTTCCCTTTCGTGTCTTTCTGCGATTCAAACTTCAGCACCAGCTCAGAAATACTGAGGTTTCTCCGAGTTACACGAGAAACAATGCCTTTAGATAGTGAAAATACACCTATCTTAGAAGAGAAGCTGACACGTAAGCACTACGCAGGTATTAGCCATAATTATGACTGCAGCAGTGAGACATGATGGCAAAATTCAGCAACATATACAAGCCAAGTAAGAAACTATGACCTCCATTACCACACCCAGACAACCAATCTTAAGGGATAGGGAAACTGTTTGCATCTATTTATTTATTTATTTGACAGAGAGAGACACAGCGAGAGAGAACACAAGCGGGGGGAGTGGGAGAAGGAGAAGCAGGCTCCCCACTGAGCATGGAACCTGATGCAGAGCTTGATCCCAGGACACAGGGATCATGACCTGAGCCGAAGGCAGACGCTTAACGACTGAGCCACCCAGGTGCCCTCTGTTTGGATATTTTTAGCAAAAATGTATATGGGAAATAAAATCTACTCTCAAAGAAAAAACCACAGAGGTGCCTGGGTGTTTCAGTGGGTTAAGCCCCTGCCTTTGGCTCAGGTCATGATCTCTGCTGAGCAGGGAGCCTGCTTCCCCCTCTCCCTCTGCCTACTTGTGATCTCTCTGTGTCAAATAAATAAATAAAATCTTAAAAAAAGAAAAGAAAAAAAACACAGAAATTATGTACGACTACCTTCGGACAAGAAACATGTAAGACCCATTGGAAAGAAATTGAAACAACCAATGGGAACTATAGAAAGAGGCTTCATACTGGCACAATCTGGTCTTGCTCTGGGATAGGAAGACTTCCCAGTGAAGTAATTTAGCCCCAAATTATTTATATCTTTAGTTGACTCCAACCATAATCTCAAAAAGGTTTTCTTTAAGAAGCAATTCTAAAGTTCATCTGGAAGAAAAATGTTCAGGAAGAGCTTGGCCACTTTTAGAAATACACAGTAACTGGGGCACCTGGGCGGCTCACCTGGTTAAGCGACTGTCTCTTCATTTTGGCTCAGGCTGTGATCTCAAGAGTCAGGCTCTGCTCTGCGCTCAGCAGGGAGTCTGCTGGAAGAGTCTCCCTCTTCCCCTCCCCCAACACACATGCACACTCCCAAATAACATAAATCTTTTTTAAAAATTACAAAATAATGAATGTGAACAGGTCCACATAATATTAACGGGTACAAATAATTAAAAACTTTTGACACTGTCTCCATAAGACATGCAGATGCATGAAGCATTACAGCTCAAATATGTAGAAATTTAACAGACAATAAATGTAGCATTTCTTTTTTTTTTTTTAAGATATTATTTATTTGAGACAGTGCACACAAGTAGGGGGAGGGGCAGAGGGAGAGGGAGAAGCAGACTCCCCCCAGGCGGGAAGCCTGATGCGGGACTCAATCCCGGGACCCTGGGATGAAGACCTGAGCTGAAAGCAGACACTTAATGGACAGAGCCCCCCAGGCACCCCAAATGTGGCATTTCAAAGCCATGAATAAAACTGGCTTGTTTAATGAACAGAAGTGATTAACATTTAAAAGAAAATAAGGCTAGGGGCGCCTGGGTGGCTCAGTGGGTTAAGGCCTCTGCCTTCGGCTCAGGTCATGATCCCAGGATCCTGGGATCGAGCCCCACATCGGGCTCTCTGCTCCGCAGGGAGCCTGCTTCCTCCTCCCTCTCTCTTGCCTGCCTCTCTGCCTACTTGTGACCTCTGTCTGTCAAATAAATAAATAAAATCTTAAGGAAAAAAAAATCTTAAAAAAAAAAAGAAAACATAAATGCATTAAACAGGGCTTTTCTGTGTACCTTTGCCCAGCAAATAATAGTCTACCTTAGCTTCCTAAAAATGGAGAATTTGATAAAATGACTCTACCTGGCAAATGATATTTAAAAAAAAATGAAATAAAAAATAAATAAATAAATAAATAAATAAATAAATAAAAGAAAATAAGGCTAGTTTTGTCTCTCACATTACAACAAACTAATTCCATATGGATTTTCATTTAAACCACAATGCCTTAAGAAAACAGAAGTGAGGCACCCTGATGTTTATAGCAGCAATGTCCACAATAGCCAAACTATGGAAAGAACCTAGATGTCCATCAGCAGATGAATGGGTAAAGAAGATGTGGTATATATACACAATGGAATACTATGCAGCCATCAAAAAAAACCCATGAAATCTTGCCATTTGCAATGACATGTATTATGCTAAGTGAAATTACGTCAATCAGAGAAAGACAATTATCATGTGATCTCCCTGATATGTAAAATCTGAGAAACAAGACAGAGGATCATAGCAGAAGAGAGAAAAAAATGAAACAGGACGAAACCAAAAAGGGAGACAAACCACAAGAGACTCTTAATGTCAGCAAACAAACTGAGGGTTGCTAGAGGGGAGGGGGGTATGAGGGATGGGGTGGCTGGGGTATGGACACAGGGGAGGGTATGTGTTTTGGGGACCGCTGGGTGTTAAGACTGATGAATCAAGGTCGCCTGGGTGGCTCAGTGGGTTAAAGCCTCAACCTTCGGCTCGGGTCATGATCTTGGGGTCCTGGGTCAAGCCCCGCATCAGGCTCTCTGCTCAGCAGGGAGCCTGCTTCCTCCTCTCTCTCTCTGCCTGCCTCTCTGCCTACTTGTGATCTCTGTCAAATAAATAAATAAAATCTTAAAAAAAAAAAGACTGATGAATCACAGACCTGTACCCCTGACACAAATAATACATTATATGTTAATTAAAAAGGGGGGGTGGGTGGGAGTGCGCCTGGGTGGCTCAGTCAGTTGTACATCTGCCTTGGGCTCAGGTCATGATCCCAGGGTCCTGGGATGGAGTCCTGCAGCAAGATTCCTGCTTGGTGGGGCGTCTGCTTCTCCCTCTCCCTCGCTGCTCTCCCTGCTTGTACTCTTTCAAATAAATAAATAAAATCTTTTTTTTTTTTAATGTGAAAAAAGTCTTTAAAAAAAGAAACCCCACAGTATTTGTGAAATTTGGGGGGAAATTTCCCTATACATAATGCAAAGGCAAGAACCATAATTAAAAGAAAAAGTCAATAAATTAAACTATTAAAATATGTAGGGGCACCTGGGTGGCTCAGTGGGTTACAATGATCCCAGGGTCCTGGGATCCAGCCCCGCATCGGGCTCTCTGCTCAGCAGGGAGCCTGCCTCCACCTCTCTCTCTGCCTGCCTCTCTGCCTACTTGTGATGTCTGTCAAATAAATAAAAATTTTTAAAAATCTTAAAAAAAAAAGGTTGGGGCACCTGGGTGGCTAAGTGGATTAAGCCTCTGCCTTCAGCTCAGGTCATGATCTCAGGGTCCTGGGATTGAGCCCCATGTCGGACTCTCTGCTCGGCGGGGAGCCTGCTTCCCCCTCTCTCTCTGCCTGCCTCTCTGCCTACTTGTGATCTCTCTCTGTCAAATAAATAAAATCTTTAAAAAAAAAAAAAAGGAAAAACCTTTGTGTGGTCGGAAAAAAAAAAAAGTCAAATCCACACAACCGCCCCCTGTATACACACACCGCAAACCAGGAAAATATAATGACAATAAATGTCATTTGCTTTGCATTATACTTTCACTTCATTTCACATAATAAACATTCTGGCACCGTGACAAATAAAACTATGTTTATCATGTAAACCATTTCCTTAAATTCACAGTGTCATTTTAAAATTTCCTTTGTGGGGCACCTGGGTGGCTCAGTGGGTTAAGCCTCTGCCTTCAGCTCAGGTCATGATCCCAGGGTTCTGGGATCGAGCCCCGCATTGGGCTCTCTGCTCGGCAGGGAGCCTGCTTCCTCCTCTCTCTCTCTCTGCCTGCCTCTCTGCTTACTTGTGATCTCTCTCTGTCAAATAAATAAAATCTTTAAAAAAAAATAAAAAATAAAAATAAAATTTCCTTTGTAATTGTTGTCAAAGGCTACTCAGTGAAGTTTACTTAGGTTTCAACGAAAACTTACCAAGAGTAGAAAACTCATCAGATCAAAATGACGTGGACTTAAGGGGCACCTGCGGGGGCAGTGAGTTAAGCGTCCAACTCTTGCCTCAGCTCAGGTCACGATCTTGGGATCCTGGGATTGAGCCCTGCATTAGGCATGCTCAGTGGGGAGTCTGCTTGAGTCTCTCTCTCTCCTTCTCCCCCTGTCCCTTCCCCACTCCCTCTCAAAGGAAAAAAACCAGGTGTAGACTTGTTATAGAAAACACATGGAGCTGAGAATTTCAAGTGAACAAGTGTGACAAGTCCTCAGTGTGGTGGTATTATTTCTAACGACATTTGTTACTCAGAAAAATGTAGACTCAACCTCACTCTGAATTTAAACAAATACATTTCTGAAAATTGAAAGTTTTGACAAGTTTTTCCTGAGCTGTTTTATATGGCTCCCACGTGTCCTCTCGGCAAACGGAAGCCTAAACCCTTCTCTGCACAACTGGCCCAATTTAACCAGACTGCTAGTGTTATATACCTTGGCAGCTTCCTGCATACCGCGCAGCTCTCTCTGTGACAGCTCTCACGTGTGTCTCCAGAACAAAGGGACAATCGTCACCATCGCGTAGTTCCACTTAACATCAGGTTCTGAAGGAACTTCAGGGGGAAGGTAGAGAATAATAAAAAATAACATTTATTACTTACTATGACAGATGTATTAGACATCATACTGTTTGTTGTTTTTTTAACGATTATTTATTTGACAGAGAGAGACAAAGAGAGAAGGAACACAAGCAGGGGAAGCGGGAGAGGGAGAAGGAGACTTCCCGACGAGCAGGAGTCCAACAGGGGGCTCGGTCCCAGGACCCTGAGATCATGACCTGAGTGGAAGGCAGATGCTTAACCCACTGAGCTACCCAGGCACCCTGTTTGGGGTTTTTTTCTTAATGCATCCAGTACCCATTACAGAAAGTCCTAAGGCTCAGAGGTTCAGCAACTTGCCCAACATCGATGACATACCTATGAAGTGGCAGATCCAGCCCACTGGCCCCACTCGGTGTCCCCGAAGGCCTGCAGTCACAGCCCCTCAACAAAAGTGGGGGGTGAGGGTGGGCAAAGGCCTCATTCCAATACTGGCGCCATTCAGTCCCCTGTCCAGAAATAACGCCACCACGGCAAACTAAGGATAAAAACAAAAGAAAGGAGGGCACTTGGATGGCTCAGCTGATTAAGTAAGTGCCCGACTCCCGCTCTCGGCTCAGGTCTGGATCTCAGGGTCATGGATTCAGGCCTCGCATTGGGAAAAACAAACCAAAAACAAACAAAACAAAAGGAAGATAAGTTCTCAGGGGCCAGCTGAAAAAACTACCCCCACGGAACAAAACAGTCTACCTTAACAAAAGATACCTGTAATATAACCTAATGGCTTCAAACAGCATACTCCCAATTTTGCTTTGTTAAAGAAATATAAATAAGATGTACTAAATTATACATACATCAACTGACTACAAGAAGTTTATCAAAACATTAACAGTGACTGTCTCCTGTTGATGGGATCATGAAAGGTTTTCATTTGAGTCTATTTATCTAGTCGCTCCAAACTGACAACGAACACATTTTAAATTCATAAAAGGGGCGCCTGGGTGGCTCAGTGGGTTAAGCCTCTGCCTTCAGCTTGGGTCATGATCTCTGCTCAGCAGGGAGCCTGCTTTACCCTCTGCCTGCCTCTCTGCCTACTTGTGATCTCTCTCTCTGTCACATAAATTAAAATCTTTAAAAAATAAAAAAATGGCTTACTTATAAAAAAAAAAACTTAGAAAAAAGTATGAACATTATCTTTTTAAATGTAAAGCGCTTAACCCAAGAACACAGTTCAGTTCACCACCACACAGTTGAAACAAACAACAAATAATTAAAATAACTACAAGTGTTAATGACAGCAAAAAGCACCAGAACTGAGAGAAAGAAAGGAAAGAAGGAAGGAAGGAAGGAAGGAAAAAAGAAAGAAATCCTTTCCTGGCACTCCCTCATTTTCAGGAGATAAACGTGAGACCCAGAAACCGTGAGTGGAGGGTCCAAAGTGGCAGAGGTGGCCCACAAGCAGAGAGAGAGAACTTCAAGCCTCAGCAGCCAGCTGTTGCCGAAAACTACTTGGGTTTTTTTCCCTCTGGCTTTGAGTTTTTTGTTTTAGTAGAGAAGCCTTTAAAAACAAATCTACAGGGGCGCCTGGGTGGCTCAGTGGATTGGGGCCTCTGCTTTCGGCTCGGGTCATGGTCCCCCATCGAGCCTCGCTTACGGCTCTCTGCTCAGCAGGGAGCCTGCTTCCCCCTCTCTCTCTGCCTGCCTCTCTGCCTGCTTGTGATCTCTGTCTGTCAAATAAATAAATAAAATCTTTAAAAAAAAAAAACAAATCTACATAAAAAAATAAAAATAAATAAAAATAAATAAATTAAAAAAAAAAAAAAAAACTCTACAGATAAGAGGCAGAGCCAGCCTGGTGAAGCCAAACTGGAGGGGGGGACGGGAGGCACAGCAGGGAAATCACCCTGACAGCAGGAGCCCTTGACCCTCTGCGCAGCCAGGGTGGGGGGGGGGGGGCGGGAGAGCAGGAGGTTCCAGAGATGCCAGACCCTCTGCACAGCCTAGGGGATGGGTGGAGGTAGAGGGGTCCCAGCGAGCTCAGACCCTCTGCCCACCCCGGGTTGGGGGGAGGGTGTCCCAGCCCCGCGGGGCGCACGTGCCCCGGGCTCTCAGCCCCCAGACAGCCACGGATGCCCGGCGGGGACACTCTTTAAGGCCTGACCCACAAACGCGAGCATCCCCGGCACTGGCGCAGACCCCACGGCCCCTCACTCATCCCGCGCCCCTACGCGCGGCCCCCGAACCACGAACCCCCGCGCGCCCACGCGCCGGCGCCCACAGGCCTCCAAGCCTGCAGGCCACACACGACCCCCAGGCTCTCCCAGCGAGACCCCCGCACGCCTCCCACCCGCCCGCCCGGAGGAAATTCGCCCCCAAACACCCGCGAACGCCAGCACCGACCCCAGGACTCCGTCGGCGGACGCGCAGGCCCAGGCACCACGTGACCCGCCCCAGCACCCCCAGACTCGCCGCCGCCCCGCCCCCGGCCTGCCTGCACCCCCGGCCTGCACGTCGCCCTGGCCCGCGGGCCTCGTGCGGTGCCCCTGCGTCGGCGGGATCCCGGCGGGACTGCTGCGGAGCCGGGGAGCGCGCGCACGGACATGCGGGCGCGCGCGCAGAGACGCCCACACTCGCCTCTCTCTGGGCGGCGAAGGACAAAGAAGGGGCGCAACCCGAAAGCGTCAGGGGCCCTGCGAGTGGAGTACGCGTGCGCGAGAGAAAGACGCCTTCATTTTTTTCTTTTTCTTTCTTTTTTTTTTTTGATCAGCTTAACGGCAGGAAGTTGCCTTTGAACTACATTTCCCAGAAGGCTCCGTGGCACGTAGATGTCCGTGCGTCTGGGGAGCGCGGGTCATCTGGAGACGCAACCGCGACCCCCGCCCAGGAGCGAGCAGCGTGTGCGCCTATCAGGGAGAAACGTGGAGGATAAGGATTTCAAAAGACCAGAAATAGAAATCCACCAACATGTTAAAGAAATGAAAAAAAAAAAAAAAAAAAGACAACTGGCTTAAGATTTCAACTGAGGAAATAAAAAGATGTATGAGTATATTTATGTTAAGTTGATAGGAATTAAGAGGAAAAAGTAAAGAGGATCCATAATTCGAGAGCGGTGGGGGAAAGTTATAAACAAATCACTACCTTATTGTAAGGGCCAACTTAGCCAGAGGGAGCCATTTTGTTGTTTATGCAGTAAACTTAGACTGACCCTGCCCCTCCCAGAGGAACTTACTTAAAAGCATGTCCAAGAAACCAGACCCAGGTAGCAAAGCCCAGATACAAGGGTGGGTCAGGCCAGGTGGAGATATCCAATCAGTGGGGCGGGCATACTGTCTCCCTAGCTACCAAGAAGAGTGGGCCCCGCCTTATGCCAATTCTGACCAAGGTGATAGGCCAGTTCAAATATCTACTAGGGTAAATTGAAATTCAATTGGCCACCCCTGTGTGACCTAACATGACTGTGCACTTTTCTCTGTGTGCTGCAATCTCATTGGCCACCTGTGTGTGGCCAGGCTCAATCACATGGCCTTTGCTCTATAAAAGTTAGTCTGTGAGGCTGGGAGGGGGTCTCCTCTTTGTAAGAGACGGCCCGACCAGTCGGTTTGATTCTCGATGCTTGGCGCGAAGTAAAGCTTTGCTTGACCTTCGCTTTGTATCAGTCTCGCTCCTTTGATCATGGACCCATTATTGGGGGACCTATCATTGGGGGCTCATCTGGGATCAACCCACGAGAACTGAGGCAGCATCAGAATTTCTGGGAAAAGCCTCCAGGGGTAAGATCTCAGGATCCTGTCTGTCTGGTTACGGAGCTCCAGCGTACAGCCCAACGGGGAAAAGCTGGAGGCAGCAATGCTCCCCAGGGGTGGAGTGGATGCGGGGACGCCCCATTCCTCCACTGGTAAATTGTCAGGGGGTTCGAGTCCCCCTGGGCGATAAGGGGGTACGAGTCCCCCTGGGCGGTCAGGAGATCAAGAAAGTCCCCATCGGTGGCAGGTTCTGGGTAAGGACCACTGGGCCTGCGGTTGTATTTGTCTTGTCCTTTTGTTGTCTGTTGTGTTGTTTGTTGTGTTTGCAGGGGACCGAGAAAGTCCCCACCAGCAGCAGGCTCTGGAAGAGGATGGCTGGGCCTGCGGTTGTTTTTGTCTTGTCTTTTTGTTGTCTGTTGTGTTGTTGATTGTGTTTGGA